TTGCTACCTAACTCATCATCAGTTAGCTGTCACCCCTTCTTCCTACCTACCACCCTAAAAATCCTGCCTAATTGTGTGTATAAATAGAGTGAGTTGGACGGTAAGCATGCATCACACATTTCATCCAATCAATATTAGCAAAACAAAACTCACTCATAAGTCCCAAATGAAATACTTCAGATTTTTCAATTTGCTTACCACAACATCTTAAACTTCTTCCGTTCGTTACAAAATATCAAACCATCGTCTCTTCTTATTTTCATATTCTTAATCCTTTCAATGTGTTTAAAGATTTGCTTGGGTGTTCTCTATTCCTTCGTCAAGCTATTGATGCTAAGAAATTTGTATGTTTTGAAGCCGTCACTTAATTTTAAGATTTACTAGTTTCTAAAGATCTAATTCTTGAAAGGAGATTAGTTATTCCAGGGGGGAGTGTTGAAGATGTTATCAATAAAAAAGATTTGAGCAGTTTGGTCATTTTTACATGAAACAACTACCCTACAGCATTTTTCCCGCAGCTGCACCAAACAGACAGTCAGCTTCCCCGCAGATGCTTCCCCACAGCTGCTTCCTGGGGCAGCGCAGCTGCAGCTGAAAAGCTGAGAATCTGCAGCTACGCCAAACATAGCCTAAGAGTCTTCTAAAGTGAGGGCAAAATTGTCTTTTTACATCAATCCCAAAGCTCATCAAGTGCTTCCTGCAAAAACGTCGGTCTTGGGAGCTGAAACAGGGCTAAAAGATTTAGATTATCATTCATTAATGAAATACATAAATGCCGCTCAATTTATATGCATGTACATACGTCACACCTAAACATCAATGGATTAATTGTTGCACACATAAATGCATCAATTCAATAGTTTAAAATATCACCTCAGTGCCAGATTTATAAATAGTAATGTTACAGTTATATACGACTTAACCCTTTTTAACAAACATACAAAATTATGCATGAAAAGATGCATTTAACTTCACTTTTTAATAGTTAAAATGTTGCTATTTTTTATGTAATATGAAATATTTAGGTGATATAAATATTTCACAAGAATCCGACAAGATGAGTTTTACTAGGTTTTTAGAACTTTTTAATAGTTAAAATGTAGCTATTTTTTATGAATATGAAATATTTAGGTGATATAAATATTTCGTAAGAATCCGACAAGATGAGTTTTACTAGGTTTTTAGCCAAAGAGACCTGCGAAGCACATTTATCTACTGCCATGAACAGTTCCTCCCAATGGAAAAGGATTTTTGGCATGCAAACCGATGCTTGCTTCGAACCAAATAAAAAAGCATCCAAAGATCTGCCAAAACCTACAACATAAATATCATTAACACTATTCCTATACTCATCTTTTAAAATATCAAACATTATACAAATAAAAACTTCAAATATCAGCAGGGCCCTGCGCAACAACAGCATCTGATAGAAATCATGTTTAAAAGCCAAAGGGCCACATTCATGCATTAATCTAAGACTGAAACTAACTTGTTGAGACTTCAAAATGTTTTCTTCCTTTCATTGAAAGTTTGAAAGAAAGACTTTGAAGCTTCATAGGTAGACCAGCAGATAGCTGCAGCTGGAGCATGGAAGAGCATTCTAGGCTTCCATCCCCTCATAAGCCCAGCAAATCCATTCCTCTTAATTAAACCTCGAGTAACCTCTATAATTGAGCTGCTAGAAAATTTATTGCAACCACAAACACCCTGCAAAATAGTTTGAAATGTATTGAGCATCTCAAGCATAACATATAACAATGCAGGAAAACATTGACATCATGATCAATTAGGAATGTACTTTTAATGAGGATCAGTAAAATTAATAGCAGAGGAAAGCAACCGGAGCAGCATCATTTTGAAAATTTTCAGGTAAGAACATGCCAACAGCACAGTAAATTTCAATAAGGGTTCATTTGGAGTATAGTTATAGGAATTTTTTTTTTTAAGTTGTAGGAATTATAATTTTTTTCCTTTTAAGAAAGTTAGATAATCCCTTCCATGTAGCTGCAAGAATCCGGAAATTTTGATTATGAAAAAATAGCTCCTTAACATAAAAATTTTTAAAAGTTACTACATAAGCAAAATTGAGAAAAATTTGCCCCAAAAGAGACCTAGAAGTGGCAGCTGCTGAGTCATATGCCTAGCGGGGTAAACATAAACATTTTGGTGGTTGCCTCGAATCCAAAAAAATAAAAAATAAAATACTGCACCTTTTTCCAAAATCACTTTGAAAATTGCATCATCCAATAAAGATAGGCTATACATGAAATGGAAAAATGCTTCAAGCAGAAGCAAGCATACAATGGTAGTTTCAAGATTGTATAAATTATCTATTTTTAAAACACCCAGACTTGTTGGTGGCCTGGGATCCAAACAAACTGATTAATAGTGGAATGCATGTAAATGACATTTCTGCTTTCAAAAAGAAATTCTTAGATGTTGTCCTTAGTCTGCATGTTCCATAAGAAAATAAGTGTATTTTCAGAACCTGAGGACTTCATTATAGGAAGATATTCAGAGTACAAATGCCTTTCTACGGAAGCAGACAACACCTCTGCACATTCCAGGAAACTACTCAAATTTAACTGATCTGCTTCAAAAGCTCATCTTGATTTTGCTCTAATTTATGGTTCCTTGTTCCTTCCTCTTTATATTACACCACTTTTTCTTTTAATTTTACATTTGCTCGGCATCCTAACAAACCTATGCCATATGAAAACTCCTGGTAATGAAGATTCGATTACACACCTTGAAACATCATGAAATATCAAAGCCGATAAGGACGTTATTTTTCCAACATTGACTTCTAGCCACAAATTAAACAAAAAGATTGGACGGGGTACTAACTGGAAAAGAGGTTTATGAATTTGATGGTATTCAGTACTTCAACAAAAGAGAAAAACCAAGGCTGGTGTTTTGTGAATGCTGGGAATCAAGTACACTTATGCTGAGGAATATTGTAATGCAGGATGGCCTCTAAGGATTATGTGAAAAAGAGTTTATTTAGCATTTCATCCGGGTTTGATTTTAGTTTATTTAGCTTTTCATCCGGATTTATTTTAAATGCTCATACTTTCATGGAAGTATATAAGGGTGAAATCCAAATCGTTAGGACCGCTATGTATTCACTTCCACAAGAAAGATGGCGCAATAAGGCGAGCAATCAGAAAAGTCCCTCTTCAATACAACATCCCTCATTCTAATCCTGGCATTTAATAGTACTAGCACAAAAACAGAATCAGGTAGATACATTCACATCAGACTCAATAAAAGCCAAATGTGGCAAAGACGTATTAAGGTAACAAATATCAATGGGCTTATGCAATGATCATGCACCGAGTCACCATATGGTCCAAGTTAAACAGCAAGTACATTGTGACTTGCTAACACATTTGCACATGTTACCTACAGTATTTTTAATCTCAAGCAATTTGAAAATCACGTTTTTTCTTAATTTATTGTGATTTCTAAATAAAAGTTAATTTTAGCACTGATTTGAACAAGCAAGAACATAATAGAAAAGTTAAATATCTAACTAGAAAAAATTGAATAGTATATATATATATATATTTTTAAAGGTGAAATCGATATTTGGTCAATGGGCAACAAATATCGATTCCCCCAAAGGATAGAAACACCAGTGTGCTTGATCCTGATCCGAAGAGCCCGCACCACGGGATTCGAACCCCCGAACCGAGGAACTTATGCCAAAGGCCGCATCAATGAGTCAGGTCTTTCGCACATACATATATATATATATATATATAGATATACACATACATACATACATACATACATATATTGAACACATACCACTATGTATTAGGCCCTAATAGTTGATCTTGGTCCAAGAAAATGTATCACCAAATAATTTTTGAAATGCATTATCTATATTTATAACCATAAACATTAGGAAAAAGTTGATCAAAGGGCTCTCAAATATATAATCATCAGATATTTTCACATAAATGGGTTACAAATATCATCATCCAACCACCAAAATTTTTTTCACTTCAATGAATGTCACTTTTTTATGTAACTCATAATTTTTTCACTCGTATTCATCTTCAGGGGGAGAATTTTCAACTTAAAGATAGATGATATTTTTCACCTTGATATTCAGATAGCAAAAAATCATAAAACTACAGGCCTTGTATCAACTATACTCCAAGTAAATACAAGAAGGAATAAGCTCAGCAAAAATACAAAAAACACGGCTCAGAATCATTATTAGGTAATACAAAAAAGCCAAAGACTACTCATATATAGCATATCTCTTAATACATCTCATTTTATAAAATTTCTCCCTTTTATAAAGCCTTTCTAACCAACGACAACACCAACCATATTTCTAGTTTGTCTATTAGAGGCACTTGAAATAGAACTTGGAAGCAGTTCATGGAGAAGAGATAAATGCCTTAAAAAAACATACATGGGAAATTATTAAATTATCAAAAGGAAAGAGCACAGTAGGATGCAAATGCACGATCAAATACAAAATAAATAAGAGTTTTAAAAGACAAAGTAAAACTGATAGCAAAAGCATATATTCAAACATATGATATTTATTGAAAATAATATTTTTCTAATTATAAAAAGGAACACTATTCACATTCTAATATCCTTATTAGCAAATCATAAGTAGCATACATAATAATATAATATTAAAAAATGAATTTCCTACAAAAGAACGTCGAAGAAGATTTATATGGATCAACCACCAGAATTTAATAACTTCTTCAAAAAGAAGCAGACATGAAGAAGGCCTTAAACAATGCCAAAAACTTGGTTTAATGAATTTACAAAGACAATGGTGGGAGTTGCATACAAACAAAGCCACGGGGTCATATTCTCTTCATAAAATACTCTCTTGTGAAGAAATCTCATTATTGTA